ATGTACAATTCTCTAACACTATCCACTAATTTATATGTTGTGTTACACGTTCCACTTCACTGTTCAACGTATCACTGCTCGCTATATTTGATATATATCGCTTATGCCTGTACACATGAGCCTGGTGGCACTGGCTCACCACGTGGTCCCACGTTTATTCTGTATTTAACTCAAAGTTCCATTGTTAATTTCTTTATTCAACTTTCCTACAGGTCACTATGCACTTGGTGATCACTGTGGGCCGTAATCCATGGTTGTAATCCTAAAAGAGCCCGGTTTATTCCAGTGTTTTCACGGGGCGCGATGACAACACGTCCGTCCTCTCCCCAGCGAACTACGAGTCAGCCATCGCTAGTGGTGCGCTCGAACGCAATGCATACTAGAGGCAGTAGGCATTGTATGTACCGTTACCTGAACAAAATCCGGAACTCTAAGGAGAAATACGTCCAGAGGCACGCGCCCCGCAGAAGACGAGGAGAAGTACAGAGGGGGAGGAGAAGGCACCACTCCGAGCCATCCCACACCCAGAAGCAGAGGAAAGAACGAAGTGACACCCTCATATATAAAATCCAGAACACCCCCCAGCATCCAGAAGGCTACGACTGGAGAAGACTGGACAAGAAGCCGGAGAAAACCGCGAGAAACGATGTGGAACACACGAGCATACCGCCCATAAACAAAACGCACACCATGGTCCCAGCGCGCGAGGTATGAAAAAGGTGTGGCTCATACACCAGGCGGACACACATATCGTACATACACATAACATACAGACACAGCTTATACACACATCGTACAAACACCAGGAAGGCGTACGTAACGAAGACGAGGAACGTCGAAACTGGAAGTAGATACGACGCGAAAACAAAACAAGGCGAAACCGAAGCGAAAGAAGATAGAGGACAGAAGGTAACCAACGAGGCCGACAAAAGGCCAGAGGGAAACCACATAGGAAGTCAACAGACGTTCCAATAATATTGAAAGGTACAAAGAGACGCGCGAACCAACGAGAACCAGGACAAGCGAGCACAAATGCATGAAGGTACATATAGACAAAAATATACCCCTGATCAAGGGACACGCAGGGACCCCAATACGAAGGGAACAGTATTGCAACGTAAGCGTGAAAAGGGTAAGGAAAAGGGGCAAAACACACCCCCAGGAACGACGGGACCGACGAACCTAAAGAGACACGGAACCGAACCCAGGGAGGGGTATACCCGAAATCAACATGAACACAGAGGGGGAAGGAACAACCCCACTCTGAGGAACTGCCAGCCCCTCACCAAAGGTACAAAGACCCAAGAGGGGAAAACAGGGCCAAGGCCCCCCAGGCAAACCCTCCCCAACCCCGGGAACCTGTATGGCAAGACCCAGGGCCGAGCTGCACCCCCAAAGCCCCGGCCTGACAAGGAAAAGCCGGGGCAGCCGTACAAACACTAAGGAAGGGAGCTCACTGGTCAGACCCATACGGCACAGTTGGAGGATCCAACTCGAATGCCTCCACCACCACCCCGAAAGAGGAAAAGCCACCCAAGACTACCCGAGTCTCAACCCAACCAGACTCCGCTCCAACCTCGAAACCCGCCTATGGTTCAGAGCCGGAAGCAAGAAAGAAAGTGTGCAGAACAGAAGGGAAAGGACGAGGAGCGGAAGGATAAAGAGTCGAAGCAACCCCCACCCTCAAGTCCGAACCCCAACAACCAAAACGGGGCAGCCTCAGGGCATCCGGGGCTGCAAACAACCAAGAGCGTTGCAGCAACCTACACCTAGCAAGCAACGCCACAGCTGCCTGCACCCGATTATCATGACCAGTGGCCTGGGTGAATGAGAGCACGTACCGACAACACCCGTCGTATGACTCCAGGTCATAAGAAACAATGACCCATCAGGCAGCATGGTGGAGGCACAACCGGTGAGTGTCACCCTGAGACAAGGGGACAGAGCAACTGTCAAACTCGCAGGACGCAAGGGGGGACTCCGGGGACACACCCATAGGACCACGGAGCCCCCGTGGGGCTTCCCAGGGCCCTTAGCCTTGGGTACCCAAGGCCAAGGCTGTATCCAAGCCTTAGCCTTGGGTACAGCGTGTGGGTACAGTGTGTACCCACACGCTGTACCTTCCCTTAGCGTGTGGGTACACGCTAAGGAAAGCCCAGGCAGGGTACCGCGAACCGGTGCCCAAGTCTACCAAACAAACTTCTAAAAGCTGAACCTCCGGGACGTGACCACTCACGGGGCCAAGCGGGGAATATCACCAACAGAAAACATCTAAATAAAAACACCTAGAACAGTAAAGGGGAACCATAAAGGCAGACCCCCCACCAGGCAAAAACAAAAACAAAAGAAAACCCCGCAAGACGACTACGTACCCAGGCGGAACAGAACCGGCCACTGTTGTTGGTGAAAACTAGCTGTGTGGTACCCCGCGCCCTGACCAGTGACGAAAACTACCACCTACCCAGAGACAAACTAGGGCAACAAAACCCCAGCTGAATCCAAGGGCGGCCCAGTACCGAGCAGTAAAGGACACAGCGGAGGTAGATCCCAAGGTGACTTGTGGAAGGTGGCCCCAAGCCCCAAGGGCAGTACTTACAGGGCACCTAGGGAAGAGAGCCCTAGGTGCTTGCAGCCTGAGTACCGTGGAATCTCACTCCTGGCTCACAACCCACCGATAGAGAGAGTCCACACCACATGGAACAGAACTGAAACAAAAACTGTAGCCAGAGGCACTCGACCGCCCAGTAATTCCATCAGAAAAGAACTGCCACTTGGAACGCCGGCGCGGAGGATCTGGGGCTCCCCCTTCCCCCTCCCGGGGAGAGGGGGGGTGTGCACAGACGGTGGCACGGCGATGTGATGACATCATGCTAGTTTGATAATTATGTTTGGGGAGTTCTGTCTACTTGTTCAGCTTTCGATAGCAATATTTTCACCAGAATAGGGGTTTGTTTTGGGGTGCCTACCTTTCTGGGTGCCTATCCCGGTCGATGGCAGACATAGAATGCTCCCAACCACAAGGGGGTTTCTATAGGCCATTACTCCTCGTGCCTTTCTGAGGGGGCCAGGTTCTGGCTTTTGGTCCCTGGTAGGCAAGAACTCCTAGCACTTTGATGCCAGAAAGTTATACATATCCATTCAGCCTGGATAGCTCTGGGGAGCCGATGGGGGAGCCGATGGGGCTCCCCCCACCCCCAGAAAACACAGCATTAAATGTAATGAAATGTCTCTTTCTGGTTAGGACTCTGAGTTAGCTCCACATCTATGAGTCCCATCAGCCTTAGAAGTCCTTTAATAGCCTACTAGAGACCAGAGCTAGAACCTAGTCTCGCTCACAGCGGTGCAGAGAGTAGGGAATTGTTATGATCGCAACACCAGGGAAGCATCCACCAGGTAAACAATGCAAAACAAACAATTGCAAAGCTCAGAGAGAAAAAGAAACAAGCAGCAAATGACTACAAATGATCCACTCATAAGTAATAGTGGCTTAAACACCCTAGTTAAAACTGATGGCCAAAAGGTGGCAGCACCACTCACAGGCAGCAGTACAACTAGGAACTGCTGGCTCAGCATGTCTACATTCCTCAGTACAGAGCCTAAGACAACAAACTGATGCACCTGGTGAAGGGAAGGGCTACCGAGGCCCAAACAGAAAAAGGTTTTTCATTATATTCAATGCTGGTTTTCTGGATGGGCTAAAGGATGGTTCCCTTGAAGCTAATTAACCACGGAGAAGAAGAATCAGGATTTAACAGGATGGAGAAGAGTGATTGCATACACCCTTGAAGAGGAGAGACCCGGACAGGAAACCTGACCCAAAGCAACACATAAGCCCAACAGGGACCAGGAACACTGACCAGGTATCAAGCCATCAGGTCCCTGTTAAACCTCAAAAAAACTCCAAACCCAGGTAGCAGCCAAAGACATGTTAGAAAATGCTGCAGTCAGACAATCATTTATATTGTTGCACACTAACAGCCCCATTCCAAAGCTGGAGAAACTGCTGACCCAGAGAGCATGCAAAGATCTTTTACCACTAGAATCCACTCAATAAAACATCTAAATTATTGGGCCCACCTAAAAATTTGTAATCTGTATTCCCTAGAGTGTAAACGGAAGATACATAATAATTTACAATATTGGAATATAATTATATTGGAAAATATTAGAAGGACTGGTTCAAAATCTGCACACAGAAATAACACCACATGAGACCAGAAGGCATGGCAGGATGTGCAAAATAGCCCAGCTGAAAAACAGAGGTGCAGTAAGCATGCTGAGAGAGAACTCGCTCAATATCAAAGGCCCAAGACTTTCCAATACTCTCTCCCTATACATGCGAGGCATAACTGACTGGCCACTCTCTAGCAGTGTTCAAAAGAGAACTCGACAAGCACCTTCAAAGGATACTTGATCAACCAGGCTGCATAGCAGCCGCATTGAACAGTCTGGTTGATAAGACCAGCAACCAGAAGGTTGCTGGTCTTAGCTGATCATTGATTCTCAAAAATCTCAGGGACATTAATCCTCGAAATCTCAAACAGGTAGTCAACAGGTAAGAAACATGCATAGTCATGGAAAACTAAAACTTTTCATTTTGATCCTGAGCAATCAAGTTATCACAAACAAATCATGGACACAGCCAAACTGCAGGCACAGATGAACTCTCGGAGCAACTCCAGGTACTGACATATTTGAAAAGTTCCTGACATTTTATAGTTTTAGTTTTATCCAACAATGTAAGAGCTATATTTTCCCCCTACAAATGGATGACCAAGAACTAATGACCATAACATCATTACGATAAATTCTTAATAATAATTTTACTTAAGCATACTGTACAGTACCGTATTCTATTCCTATAACAAGGGGCAATAAACTAAACTATTACCCAAAATATATTCTGTATACTGTATATTTAGTTGACAGATGCATTAATACAGTACCCAGTACATCTTTCTTTGAACCACTGTGGAAGAATGTCGTATAAACATATTTACCTCAGGCAAATCACTAGGGCACAAGAAGCGCAGCTTGAGCTCTGCCAGGGAACAAAGCGGCAGACCATCCTGCTTACAGCTACCATCCTCCACCAATCCCCTTCAATGAAGAAATGCATAAATTTTGCAAACTCAAAGCACAATTCAAAGAGAAACATCTAACATTACAGCCTAATGGGAAAAACCAGCATTGAATGTAATGAAATGCCATTTACTGGGCGAGACCCGGAGGCTCCCTGGAGCTACCCAGGCTGACATGCTAATGTCAGACTTTGGCATCAGTCATGTGTATGAAGTTCTGTGGGCCTACCAGGGACCACGAGCCAGAACCTGGCCCCTCAGAAGAGGCACGAGCAATGGCCTATAGAAACCCCCATGTGGTTGGAAGCATTCCATGTCTGCCATCAACCGGGTCAGGTACCCAGAAAGGTAAACATCCTAAAACAAATCCCTATTCTGGTGAAAATTGTGACGAAAAGCCGAACAAGTGGATAGAACTCCCCAAACAGAAACAGGCAAACAAGTATGATGTCACATGTCGCCGCGCCACTGTCTGCGCAGCTCCCCCGTCCACGGTAGAGGGAAGGGGGAGCCCCAGACCCCCACGCCCGCAATCCACCTCAGTTCTGAGGCTGGATATCAAAACATGCGAAAAACCGTCGACCTGGTGAAGGGAGGGTTTCCAGGAAGCCTTTGGGTCTTACCCAGAAAATGACATTTCATTACATTCAATGCTGGTTTTCTGGGGGGAGCCCTGTCAGCTCCCCCCGGAGCTACCTACCCAAAGACGAAGACAAGTGGGACCAAACCCGGGAGGCTGAAGACGCACATACCCCAACGCGAAGCGGAGACAAAACTGCAACTGCCAACCCAAGGCCCAAGAATATCAACAAAGGAACGCAGAGCCAACCAAAGAACGACTTGGGCACGGGGACAGACAGCAGGCTGGCAGGACCAAACCACCCCCATGGACGACCCGAGAGAACCACACCCTGGAACAGGGAAGAGGGGAACCCGGAACATCCCAAAGCGTGACCCTGGTCACAGCAGCCGTGGCACGCCAAGCATGGCGAAGTGCCGCAACCGAACACAACACACGATGCACCCCCGGCCAGACCAACCAAGCATCAAACAACCCAAGGACCTCTCCAGAAAGCAGCTGTTCCAGTTGTCGCCAGAAAAGAAGGAGACGGCTGCAAGCGAACAAACCTATCAGGAGAACCAAAAGAGCCAAAACCCAGGCACCAGAGAAGGGTATGAAGCACTCAAACCTGACCCCCAGAGGCTGAGGCCAATGCCAACAAGAAAAAGAGCATAGGAAAGCAACTCAGAACTGAAGCGGCCACAACAAACCAATAAAAGAGCACGCAATCCAAGAACCAGGACGGCTCAAGCGGTGCAAGAGCAGGTCGGAGGTGAACCACGCCAGAGACGGCTTGCGAAGCGGTGCAGAGGCAACTCCAAAACCGAAGCAACTCGGAGTGGCTCGCCAGCACCACACGAGACAAGGCAACAGTATGTGGCAAATTGACAGCCCTGAACCTCCACAAGAGAAGGACCAGACCAAGCCAAGAAAACATAACAAACCGAGGAAGGGACAGAAAGAAAAAGGAAGGACCGCCAAAGAAAACCCACACCGTCGCCAAGATGAAGCACATAGGTGGGACACCATCAACGAAGCCACCTGACCACCAACAGATGGTGAGATACCCGAGGCAGAACCAAACCAGCCCCGCCATGGACCGATTGAGCATGGGAAGAGGCGGAGCCACAGGAAAACCTCGGGTGTGACTACCGAGCAAGCAGAGCCGGAACCCAAGCCGGCAAGGAATGAGGAAGAACGTCTGCCGTACAGAAAACTTCCCAATGCTAGCGAGCTCGCCAGGAGATCGGAGACACTGGTTCCAATGCAAGACTCGTGAGAAGTGACACCACGAGATCCGGAATTTGCCAACTGGCAGGGTAAGCTAGGAAACAAGGAACCCAAACTAAACATAGGGGCAATGCAAAAACAGAGAACTGAACATGGACAAAGTCCAACCTAGCAGTAGGAGAGCCAAGAAGCACATACTAAATAAACCACACAACAATGTGCAACGAGAGGGGCGAAATAACATTAGAACCATTACATCCCATGACACTTAGTTATCATAACACAAACAAGTGTAAACTAGTGTGTTCAGGTCTTCTCGCAGACATCAAGCCCTGATGAGTAACCTACACGCAAAAGAATCTAACTACCCCACACATATTACCCTGCAGGTCAAATGACCTGAATTGCATACAGTATAACAAGCCATATGAACTAGAAATAACAGCCCCAGCACCAGCAGCTAGGGACAAGAGTGTAGAAGGAAGATGAGGAACAAGGAAGACAGGCAGCAATGGGAACGAAAGGGACAGGACCAACAACACACAGAGGCCATGTCAATGTCAGGTGATTGACAGTCGAGAGGCAGGACTGAAGAGCCAAAGCTCAACCCCCCGCAAGCACAACTAAGTGAGGACAACGAGGCGAGTACAGAGAATCGAATGGATATGGAAGGGCTAAGCCAGGCACTGCAAGAGGGTCAAGGAATAAGCGACCAAAATAAGACCACGAAAGACATGGCCATGCCCCACCGTGTAACAAATAACACAGTGTTAGTTTAGTTCATGTACCATGCACCCCACACCCATCCAGTAGGTGGCAGTGGAAACGGCCACAGAGGCACACAATAGGCTCAGGGACTGAACCCCACATGTCACTGAGCCAAGCAAGTTATAATCTCAATGAGCCAGTTACAAAATTCACTATAAGTCATCACAGATGAACAAAGAAGGCCACAGGAAGAAAAAGGCAAGGGGCCAAACAAAACACCCCAACCAATCCCCAACATGCACCCAAAAACCACGAACCAGCACCTGGCCGAAAGAGATGTCCGACCGCATAAACTCACCTGCAGAGCGTAGGCACGAACGTGTCACAGCACATCGTAGCCGAGAATATTCCGGAAGCATTGCTAGTTGAATAAGGCCAGAGCCGCAAAAAAGAAGAGTAGGGTAGAGGCGTATGTGGCGCCCCACACCCATATGTAGAGAAAACGAAGCGTCCTCCCCATATTGGTAATCCAGAACACCCCCAGCATCTACAGGGCACAGACTGGAGAGATGAGAGGAGGGAGAGAGGCAAAGCACCCGAGGGAAAAAGGACGCGGATTACCAGCACTTGTGTACACTGTCTATAACAAAAACTCCCACGGCGCATGTGCAGGACGCAGGAGGTCCGAGCCGCACAACCCCGTCCGGCGGGGATGGCGCCAACTAGGAGTACTGAAGGAAAATTGCCTAGAAAGAGCACGGTGAGAAGATATAACTCTAATGACAAAAGAATGAGACAGTATCAAAAACCAAGAAGAAGCAAGAAGCACGGAAGAGGACCAATGAGTCCAAAAAAGGACTGGAGTTAAGCCTCACCGGAAGACAACAGACGTTCCAATAATATGGGAAGAATCGAAGACCATCCCAAACCCTCGAGATCTGACAGAAGCAAGCACAAAATCACAAAGGCACAGTCGCATCCAAGACCAAAAGTCATGCCGAACCCCAATAAGAGGGGGGAACATAACCCCGACAAGACAGAGAAGTCCCGTCCCAGAGAAAAGGGGGGGTAGAAACGGAGAAGAGGACCCACCGATAGGACGGAACCGAACAGACCAGAAGGGATAAGGATCCAAACCCGCGGAGGGGCCGACTCCTAACAACTCGTACACATAGGGGGGAAAGGAAAAAACCCCACTCCTCATAACCTTCGAATCCCCCAACCCCAAACCCACAGATGGTAAGGATCCGGATGCAGGAAGGAAGGAGTGAGGGGGGGGGGGGGGAACCAGACGAAATCACAACAGGGAAAAAACAAGGGGGCGCAGAAGGAAACAAAACCGAAGCACCAACACCCCCAAGCCCTGTGACAACAACCCCAATGGGACAGCCTTGGGGCTTTCGGGGAGCAAACAACCTAGTGTGTTGCAACCACCTGAACCCAACGTGCAACACCCGTGCTGCCTGCACCCCGCACAGTCAGCATAAGACTGGGTAGCCAAGCCACAAACAATCAACGAAACTCGCAGGACTCCTGGTCGAAGGTGCCACCGACCTCACAGGCAGCAGACTGAGGCAAAAACATTGAGACACCCTGAGACAAGGGGACAAAACAACCCTCGAACTTGCACAAAGCGAGGAAGGACTCAGGGGTCCCATCCATCAGACCCCACGCACCCCCTTGGGGATTCCCAAGGTCCTGAGACGGAACTCACGCTCAGGGAAGCCCAGGCAGGGTACTGCTAACCGGCGCCTAAGTCTACCAAACAACTTTCTAAGAACTGAACCCCGGGACGTGTACACTCACGGAGACCAAGCAGAGGGAACCACCAGAAGAAGAAGAGTACTCAGTACACAGGGGAAGCAAGAACCAAGGCAAACCCCCCCCCCCCACCAGGCAGGCAAACAAAAAGAAAAAGAAAACCCTGCAAGAGGACAGCGTACCCAGGCGGAACAGAGCCGGCCGCTATGATTGGTGAAAACAAGCTGCTCGGTACCCTGCGCCTCTACCAGTGCAAACTGCCCCCTACCCCTAAGGCGAATAAGGGAGACAGAACATCCAAGCACAAAAAGGGCGGCTGAAAACGAAGCAGTAAACGGGCTAGCAGAGGCAGAACCCAAGGAACTTGTGGAACGTGGCCCCAAGCCCCAAGGGCAGCACTTACTGGTCACCTAGGGAAGGGAGCCCTAGGCACATGCAGCCTGAATACTGAAAAATCACTCCAGGCTCATGCACCACCTAGAAGACGGACACCACACACAAAGCACAGTGCTGAAACAACCACTGGAGCCAGAGCACACGATTGTTGCCTATAACATCAGCCTCAGAACTGAGAGGTAGATTGCCGGCGCAGGGGGTCTGGGGCTCCCCCTTCCCTCTACCGGGGAGGGGGGAGCTGCGCAGACAGCGGCGCGGCAACATGTGACATCATACTCGTTTGCTCGTTTCTGCTTGGAGAGTTCTATCCACTTGTTCGGCTTTTCGTCGCAATTTTCACCAGAATAGGGGTTTGTTTTGGG